GGCCGGGGCTGCCGGCTGCCCCGTTCGCCTCCGGGCTGGCGCGGAAGGGGCGAGGGAAGAGTCGTGTCACGCTAATTACAAGGCACTCATCTAGCTTTAATTTCTAACCCAAAGCGTGTGGGGGGGGAAACGACAACAACCCACCGTCCCTCCCGGGGAGAATTTGCCTGCCCGGGCCAGCGCTGCACAGCAGCACAACCCGGCCAGCCCCAGGCCCTGCCTCTTCCAGGAAGGCGCTGAGCCGTCCTGATGGCGAGAAACCACGCTCTGAGCCGCCCTCTGGCCCTTCCGGACCTTCCTGCTGCTGAGCAGGCCCTGTCTACCTGCAGGGGCTCTTCTCGGGCTCCCAAAAGTACAAAATCATTTTTTCCGGTGCCCCCCAGGTGACTCCCGCACGTTTCAGCTTAGCCGGGCTGGGGGCACCTCCGAGCTGCTTCCCTAAGGCGTAGATTCTCTTCCCTCCGACTGAAAAGGGACTGTGAGAGCCTAGTATTTTCTCACACAGGTAAAAGCAAAAAAAGGAAAGTCACTAGCAGTTGGAAGGAGGGGGCAGCGTTGCGGAGCCCCTTTAAGACCCAGCCAACTTCCTATGCCCGGTTTAAAGAGCTATCTGCAAACCAAAAAAGCCCACGTGGAAAACATCTCCCACCAGAAGGCAAACGGCGCAGCAGGTAAATCCGTAGCAACTGAGCAGTCATCAAAGAAGGACCTGCGCCGTTACAAAACGCTACCGCTGCGCTGTGAGAGCTCCGAGTTGCTGCAAGCTCTTGCTGCTCTGTTTGCCGGCTGCTCTGCAGCTGCAGCACCCAGCCACCAAGCTTTGCCGGCAGATGAGCCCGCACCTCTTGTCACACAGCTGCCATTGGAGCCTCATCAGCGACTGCGCTTGCCGCGAGAACGGGCTCTCGCAAAACCAAGCACCACCTCCTGTGTTGGTTGCTGAGGCTGCCGGTGGGGCCGTCATCCACAAGCCCGATTTACAAGCTAGTTTCGTTCTACCCAGGTGAACAAGCCCTTTGACTTGAGTGATATTCGTGACATGCGCTACTACCTGCGGCACCCGGATCCTTTCCCTGTACCAAAGCCAAGCCCTGCCTGTTGGAACGGGAATCCCCAGAGGCGACTTCACTGTTCACACCAATGCCTGGCGGACTTCCCCATCAAATGAAGCTAAACCATGAGTTGCTTCCACATGATGTTTCTAAAAGGCCATGCCAATTTGGTTAGTACAGCCAAGTGCTTCCCGTTTTAGAGTGTTTCTGCTTTTATCAGCAGAGAAAAATATAAGAGTGGGCAAGATGTGACGTGAAGGCAGCCTTCGAGGTACACGCAGTGGGTTCCTGGCATGAGGCCACGTCAAGATACATCCGTGCATGAGGGTGGGTAAGTTGAAGGCTGGGGGACGAGAGGAGTCTGCTATGCTTCACCGGAAGCAGGGCTGTAGAGCTGGAGTCCTGTGCCTTAGCTCTGTTCTCACACGCTTCAAAATCTACGGGTATAAACTTCCCAGGTCTGCTTCTAGGCCGAGTGCTTCAAAAGTGAAAATCAAATCCTCGTAAGAAAAAGGACGCACGCCAGCCACAGCAAAGCAGGGTTGAGGAACTCCAGCTGGTTTCCCTTGATTACTCAGATATTGGTAGCAGTTTGGAGAACACACTGGCAGCAACCAGAGCAGCAGAGGAGCCAGGCTGGGACTCTTCTGTGCCCTAGTTCTGCCCAGGATGCAGATGTTTGCCAGGCAGCACCAGAGCTGCAGTCTTACACCCCCTTTCACAGGTGGGGTCATCAAGATCTCTCCCTTATCTCCTCCATCTGTCCCACAGCAGCTTGATTACCATCTCTGCTCCGCACGCAGCCTCGGCTGCAGCCCTCCGAGGCCCCAGTGCTGCTCCCAGCCTCAGAGGTAGCAGCTGGGAGGGCACCCAGAGCGGGGTCGCTTTGTCACAGAGAAATGCTGTAGGCATGAGAGGGCTGAAGAGGTACAAAGGCCACCAGCACCAGAGGCAGCAGGAAATCGGGGAGCAGGGCAGGAAACATATCTTCTCTCTTGCCCTCACCAGAGGGAGCAGGAGAAGCACTGAAGGGCAGAGCTCCCACCTAAGCCGCAAGGCACGGCCATCCCTCCTGCTCCGTGGCCAGGGCAGAGGCCTCAGTGCCCAGGGAAACAACTCGGAGCAGACGCAGTCAGAGCGGTTGGCCAAGGAGAAGCGACGAACGCTACCTCCCAGCAAGGAGAGGTGCTGGACCAGCCCACCCCGTTGCGGCTTGGAGCCTGCAGGCTGGGCTCCCTGCC